TAAATTGCGACTCCATGTCAATACAGCCCCCGCTGCACCCCTCAAGGCCTAGCAACATGCTGAACTCGTTGCACACTTTAGCCTCCGACGGACGTATCCTTCACATGCCGAAGAGAAAGTTTTAATGCTCCATGGCGCCGAGTTTCGGTCGCCTTGGGATGGCCACGAACATTCCATCGTCCGCATACAAGCCCATGCATGAGTACCAAATTCTTCGAGTTAGCAATTCCCCTCACCTCTGTGAGCTTTGCATAACTCTTTTGGTCGTTGAGTAACTCATTCCACCTTGCATGGTCTCATTCTTGCCAAGCGCCTCGCTTGCCTAGAGCACCATCAAGTATAGTTGTCAACGTTGAGCCGTAGCTCAAACTCAGCCATCCCAACCTTTGTGCGCTCCACATTCTTCCAAGCTTGCCTGTTCTCGTGGTGCCTCTTGCGCGAAGGGTTGGCCATTCCTCTGAATGCCAATCTCAGATGCCCGCTCCTCTGAGCGACTCTTTTCCCTACATCTCCATGCCCGTTTTCCCCCAAACGGTCGCGCGTGTGCTGACTGCCCTCAACGCAGCCCTGCTAGGACCCCACGTTTGCATGCTAAGTGTTTCTATGAGTGCTTGTCCCGCTCTGATACCATATGACACGGACTTAGCTGGTTTTGCCTAAGTCGTGCGGCACCCTTGCGTGTCCGTCCGCAAAGGTCAGCCTCCCCGAAGACTCCCATTGTCCCTTAGGACCAACAAAAGAGAGAACGGGCAAGAGAGAACGCCTCAATCGGGATCCACAAGCAAACATCTCCGAAAAACACTTCATAAACAATACAAATTACAAACAGACCTTACAAGCTCTGAACAGTGGCACAACAAAGGGTAAAATGATCCATTATAGATCGAAAAGCTCTCGCACGTGTCCACATGACACAACCTTTATTTACAAGCCTAAAGAGGCCACCAACCTAACTCAAATGGGACTTTGAAGCCTTCGGCCGCCCCTCTCTATGCTGTACAAGGCATGAACATGCCCAAAAAACACGGACATACATAAGCATTACATCCAACATCTTGTTCAGAAGTTTGTCCGTGACAATAGGGTGGTAATTATAAGTTTGATCTGGGTTTAGAATGATGTGGTGAAGAGATTGTTTACCCACTTCTTTCTTACATAGTTGGTGACCTAATTTGATAGGTAGTCTGCTTTAGTTCAAACCTTATGTTGGTACTCTTTGTGTCAGCCTAAACTAGATGCAAATCTGTTATCTGTCATCAAGAGCAATGTTGTTTATAACTCTTTATAACCACTTACTATTTGCTGTTGGTCAATGTGTTGGAAGTTAATCTTTTAGATCCTTGGAGACCATTCAGGTTGGTGACCCATACTTGTGACTTAATGTGTTTATTTAAATGTTGTCTATTTCAGTCATATATGGAGAGCCATAACTGGATCCAGAGTGTTTCTAGGGAATTATGCATTTTTGAGTGTCTAATAGTTGACATGTACTTATGTCCTTCTAATCATTTCTAACAGATTCTGGAAGAGGCAACTTTCTGTAGCAAAAGATGCTCGTCGAGTTGATGTCCTTTGTTATCGTATTTTTTTAAGCTATAGGCTTCTGGATGGTACTTCTTGTTTCAAAGAATTGCACCAAATTGTAGAGGAAGCAAAGGCAAAGTTAGAAAAAGAAGTTGGTCCAGTGGATGGAATCTCAGCCAAAATGGCCCGTGGCATTGTGAGCCGGTTGTCTGTTGCTGGTGATGTTCAGAACCTCTGCTTTGCTGCAATTGAGAAGGCAGGTGAATGGATGAGATTGAGGTCAACTGATCTTTTTAAGCAAAATCACAAAGGTAAAACTCATTGATGCATATCTGTAGTCATCTCGTGCTCATATTTAGTATGATGATTTAAATTTGACCAGGAATCCTTTTTCTCCCTTTGTTGCAGATTCACTTCCTGCTGCCTGTAGGTTCCAATTTAATGAAATAACGTCATCTTCTCTCATAATTGTTATAAAGGAAACTCCTTCAACAGCATTTGATGCCATCAAAGGTTATAAGCTCTGGTACTGCAAGACCAGAGATCAATCCGATAAGAAGGAGCCTGTGGTCTTCCCAAGGTCTCAGAGAAGGATTCTATTTACTAACCTCCAGCCATGCACGGAATATGCATTTCAGATTATCTCATTCACTGAGGATGAGGATTTCGGCCACTCAGAATCAAAAGTGTTTTACTAAGAGCGTGGAGATCATCAACAAGCATATAGAGAATACTGGGGCAGAAGGGTGTTCATCCAGTGTCAAGCAAAAAGGGACAACAGCAGCTGCCAAACCCTCTGGATTTCAAGTTCGAAATCTAGGAAAGATTTTGCATCTAGCTAGGGCACAGGAAGATGGATACTATGATGGTTTATACGAAGATGATGTTGAAGAGGAGTCCTGTGGTGGGAGTGGTGAAGTGATTGCAGAGGCTGCCAAAGCAGCACCTACCACTTCACGCCGGCTTGATTTGAATTTGGCCTTGGTTCCTGATTTAAATGATGAGGTAATACCATCAACCGAGTGGTATCCTGAGGAGGAAAAAGCATGCTGCTCTGAGAAGAATGAATTAGCCAGATCTAGTGGAAGTGATGATTCCCAGACATGTGCAGTTACATTGTTCCATGAAGTGCCTGCAGTGGAATCTCGACATGGTTGTGAGAAACAACTACCCACTGGACACGAGGAAGCTTGTGAGGGTGACAGCACTTTGGTCAGTGGGTCACCTAGGAGATTCCAGTATAGGTTGGGTCAGTTGGATGATAACTTTGAATACTATGTGAAGGTAATAAGATGGCTGGAGTGCTTGGGGCACATTGGAAGTGATTTCCGCATGAAGTTTTTAACTTGGTTTAGCTTGAGGTCAACGGAGCAAGAACGCAGGGTGGTCATCACATTCGTTCATACATTGATTGAAGAGCCCAACAGTTTGGCTGCGCAGTTGCTAGATTCATTTTCAGAGATTGTGACCTGCAAGAGGCTATGCAGTGGTTTCTGTAGTAAGTTGTGGCATTAATGCAAAAGAAAGGACTCGGAGTATAACTTGCTCGTTCCATTTATGTTCTCACGTTTATTAGGGAGGTTTGTTTATATCGGTTTCTTTTACTATTTGCTACACAGGTTGTTGCTGACAGTGCTCGCTAACATGGAAGAACTAACATCAGCTATTTATGACCATTTCATCAATATCGACCTTCGCATTTGTTCTTGGTTCAGGGCCTCTAAGACCAACATTGATGACTGTTAACAGTTCAGTTATTTTTGCATCAATCCATCAACAAGTGCGAGCATCTAATGTTGCTGTCCTCTGTCACCACTAGAAGGTTCTTGATGCTTTCAACCTTGAATAGTCATGGTTTTTTTCTTTGCTTCTTTTTTGCGCTTGCTTACCCAATATATTTACTAGATTAATGTTGTAAAATGATAGAATTGTGAGAAAGAATGGTTCCATTACCTTGACCTTCTGGTACCATGGTTGGCTGTCTCTCAACTTTGCTTGCTAATTAATGTTAGCTCAGCCACGTCTACTTGAATGTCTCCACCAAATTTTGACTGTGGTTGTATGTCTTCCTTGATTGATAAGATGAAGCCACAGAAGCAATCCCATTACACATGAAGAAAACATTTGATTGAACGACTGATTTCTGTCAATGATATTATCAGGATCAAGGAAGCTACCTTGTGACAGTGACTTGATAATTCATCTGAGCTTTGTTTTGTTCTTGCAGAACCAAAGCATGTTTTGCTGGATGCTTTGGGTACGAATCATTTCGTTGCAAACTGGAGTTTGAATTATGTATATGAAAACAAACATTGGGTTGATATTATCTGTTCCTATTAAGTTATTTCGTTGCAATATATTTACCTTTTCATTTGGGCTATTGGCAATGGACTTCAAAAGCTGTTCGGTTTATGCTCTGATTATTGTATCATTTGTCTGCATTTTTGTTAGAACTCATGCAGATTCTAAACTTAGGGTTGATCTCTTTAGGGGATCGGACTCCTTGGAACTCTATAAGGGTTCCTCCCTTCAAGTTGTTACTCAAAGACTGCAGAAAAGATTCATCTATTGCTTATGAAAAGAGAAGGAATACATGGTTATTTATAGGGCTTCTAAACCCTAACTCCTAACAGGACTCCTACTTAAGACTCTTACTTCTAACCAACTCCTAATAGGACTCATACTCAAGATTCCTATTCCCTTACAACTCCTAATTCTTCTCTAAGAAAAAACCTCCTACATGAATATCCCTCTCAATTAGGACTCTCCTAGCTAGAGTTCTAACAGACCCGCCCTCTTCAAATCAGCCTTGTCCTCAAGGCTGAGATTTCATGAACTCAGGGAACCGGGTCTTTAGCTCCTCATATGGTTCCCATGTGACGTTTTCAAGTGGTAGATTATTCTAATGCACTAGTACTTCAGTAGAGGGATGTCGGCGACGCATCACGATCCTACGATCGAGGATGGCTTGTGGTTGGGCTTAGAATAATTCCATCCTCAGTTGTGTTGGGCAGTTGGATCTGGGGTGACTCGTGTTCTCCCAACTTGGGCTTTAGGCATGATACGTGGAAGACAGGGTGAATTTTGGCATCCTCAAGTACTTTAAGTCTGTACGCCACGGCTCCAATACGCTCTGTGATCTGATATGACCCATAAAAACGTGGGGATAGCTTCATGGAGGCTCGAGTGTTGATAGAGAGTTGCTTGTATGGTTGTAGGCGAAGATAAACCCAATCTCCCACTGAAAATTCTCTTTCACTTCGTCGTGTGTCGGCTTGCTGCTTCATTCTGGCTTGAGCGGTAGAGAGATTATCTTTTAACAGTTGTAAGAGTTTGTCCCTATCAATCAATTCTTGGTCAACCTGATCTACCTTGGCCAAGCCAATTACATACTTTGGAATCACAGGGGCTGGTCGACCATACAATGCTTCATAAGGGGCACATTTTGTAGATGAATGATATGTAGTATTATACCACCATTCGGCCCAGGGAAGCCATTTCGCCCACTCTTTAGGTCGGTCGCTAGTGAAACACCGGAGGTACATCTCTAAGCACCTATTTACCACCTCTGTTTAGCCGTTAGTTTGTGGATGATACGCTGTGCTCATCTTGAGTTTAGTGCCTTGTAACTGAAATAACTCGGTCCAAAATTTACTAGTGAAGATCCTGTCATGATCACTTACGATGGACCTTGGCATCCCATGCAGTTTAACAATATTTTCTATGAAAATCTGGGCAATACTACCAGCAGTGTAGGGATTTCTCACAGCACAAAAATGAGCATATTTCGTAAGTCGATCAACCACCACGAGAATCGTGCTTTTACCTTTGGAAGATGGCAGCCCTTCAATGAAGTTCATGGAGATGTCAGTCCACACTGAGTCTGGTATGGGTAGTAGTTGTAGCTTCCCTGGATTTGCCACAGTTTTACCCTTGTGCTGTTGATATATATCACATTGTGCCACATATTCAGCAATAATTTTTTTCATCCCTCTCCAATAAAAATTTTGCTTCACTCTTTTGTAGATTCTTAGGAATCCAGAGTGCCCTACTGAAGGTATGGAGTGCATTTCATGTAAGATGATTGTGATGCAAGGGGAGTCAGGTATAAGCACAATGCGACCTTTGTAGCGTAGATCCCTCGAATCCCAAGTGTAGTGGGCTATTGCACTTGGATCCTCCTCCAAATTTTTTATGATGTTGCTGATCTCTGGATCCTTCTTCCATTCTTCCCTAATGTCCTCAAGGAGACTAGTGGTAGGAAGGAAGATGGCTGAAACCTTAGCTTGTTCAGGTAGCCGTGAGAGTGCATCTACGACAACGTTTTCTTTCCCCTTTTTGTAAATAATTTCATAATCAAATCCAAGAAGTTTGGTTACCCATTTTTGCTGCTCAGGGGATGATATCTTTTGCTCCAAAAAGTATTTGAGGCTTTTATGGTCAGTTTTAATTTGAAATCGCCGGCCGATCAGGTAGGGTCTCCACCTCGTTACTGCGT